TGTGTGTGTGTGTGTGTGTGTGTGTGTGTGTGTGTGTGTGTGTGTGTGTGTGTGTGTGTGTGTTGCAGGAGTTTCCTGGAAAACCTGGCCCTCCACACCCGGCCAGGGACATTTGAACCCTGCCTTTTGAGACCTCGCCCTGTCTTCACTCCGACTACTCCTTTGCTAACAGTGTTTGCACCGCCTCCATGCAATGGCAACCCTGTTTGTTTTGTTTTGTTTTATTTGACCTATTACCTTAATTCAATTTCTAAACATACAACTGCCATCCATTCATGGCTTTGCACCACTGATACAGCCTTACATGAACCATGATTATTACTAAGTTTAATAAACCTTTGGTAATCCCTATTCAGTGGGTGGTGTGACTCCATTCTTTGTTGTGGCCTTTGAGGCAGTCATAATAGCACCAGCATGTATAACAGCCAACAAATGAGCATGAAGAGACAGGAGAAACCATTCACAGCACAAACACAGAAACTAGCTGACCTGAGTATAAACGGGAAGGGAAATCTTTTTATGTTTTGTGTTTCTCAAAGACATAAATTGTGACACGATTAGATTTCAGGGAACAAACCGTTATCATTCTGCTGAAGGATCCCAGTGTCAGCCCATACTGTACTGATTTCACTGCTTCAGCACTGGAGGAGGTAAATATATTTCAGACAAATGAGAAATAGGAAGCCTCAGTCATCACATACTAGTTGGTAGTTTTGATTTCCAGTGCCAGTCTTGTAAAGTTCCATATTTGAGCGCACAAAAAAGAAATTAACAATGCAAAAAATGACTAGTGGCAATCTGTAAATTGTATATAGTTGTATTTCACAATAATGCAAACTAAAACATGCAAAACATTTTCTAAAAGTGATTTTTTTTAGTGATAAAAATTATGGAAATGCTCTTTTCATTCAACTTTCGTGCTGGATTTAGCAAATATGATACAAGTTATACCACAGAAACAACAATATCAGCAGATCTGAACAGAAAAAATATCCAAATAGTTTCCAAACTGTAATCAAATTAAAACTGAGACAATAACTTAAAATATATGTGTACTTTTTTCATTTTTCACACCCACTTTATATGCATGCACATTGGCCTGGAAGGGTCAGATAAGTCATACTGAGTTTAAAAAATTATAAGAGGCATTAAAATTCAACAAGTAAAAATAAACACAGAAAAAAATATTAAATGTATTGAAAAAACTTGTAACTCATCTCAAATGACTAGTCTTCAAGGAAAGGTTGCTGTGTCCAGATGATTTAAACACAAAATTATGACAGAAATCAGAGATAGTTGCCCAGAAAATGTTCTAAAAATTCAATGATGTAAGGACCCTTATTGTTAGTGATGCATTTTGTTTTTCTCCTAATGAGCAACCCTCCAACATTTTTACACCTCCAAAAACTGGCTGAGCAGTAACTTTCTACAAAGGCTTAATACTGTACATGTCATTCAAAGAATTACTTAAATGTAAAAAAAAAAGAGCACACTCATTACAAAAATAGGCTTAACACTATTGCATGAGGCAAAAAAAAAAAAACAACCTCTAAAAGTATGCATGTTGTCAGTTTAATTTCACGTTTTCAAATCATGTTTGTTGCTGTTTTTATGTGTGAGGTAATTTGTGTTACTGCAAAAGTTTTCATAACAGGCTGAAGTTCGGGTCCGTCTTTAACATTTCTTTAAC